ATTTTCCTGCAGTCTGTGCATCTCCAAACAGTGTTTGCAGCTGGACAGATGATTGGCTGGTATGATCCCAAAGTCACCAGAGTGGCCCATGCTGCCTTTGGAGTGGTGTTGGGAGAAGACAAGTAAGTGTCTGGGTGTACTTTTTCCTCGGTCTGTACCTTGGAGAGAAAGTTTGAGTGAATGCAGGAGATTTGCTCTCATTCATTGACAAGTATGTATGTGGCACACCAAAATAAAGCCCAAAAGAAAGCACTGGTTCCTGTGCTGTTACCTGTAACTGTGTCATGGTGTTGTGTGTCATTGTCCCTGAGCCACACAGTCACTGCTGCTGTGGTCACATTCTCTCTCAAGCCTGGCTCCTGCTGCCTGGCACTTGTATGGGCTGGTGGAAGCCCATGTGGCACTGGGAGATGATGGCAGTGGTAAAGGCCATGATTTTCATTACTTTCTACCTCCATGGTAGATGAAACAAAAGCTGGGAGAAGTCTGGTACTGCTGTTGTGTGCTGCTAATGCCTGGAACTGGACAGTTCTCAGTGCTGAGTCCCTCCTGGCCATTCCTGCTGACCATGCTGTGGGTGCTCTCTCAGTTTTGGAGCTGTCCATGTGATGGCAATTCCTTCAATACAAAAGGATTTGCCATGTGCTGTTTTCCTAAGCTTGCTGGGCACCAGGCAGAGGGTGCAAGTGTTTTGCCTGTTACGCAGGTGCTCATTTTGGCTGTGTGTTTTCAGGAAGAAGTTCAAGACTCGTTCAGGGGACACGGTGCGTCTCATAGACCTGCTGGAGGAGGGACTGAAACGAGCCATGGACAAGCTGAAAGACAAGGAACGGGACAAGGTACTTGTGACAGATTGCTTCTGTCCTGAGAACTTCCCAGATGTGTTCACAGACTTGTGGTCTCTGCATTGCTTAGTGAGATTTCTGTCTTGCTGCCTGCAGAGAACTGGGTAGTGTGGGACATGGAATGTAACAGAAAGACCAAACTGTCCAGGCACAGTGTGGGGCAGTGGAATTGGGAAGGGTAGTGTAGGGGGAAGGGAAAAGTCCCTTTTTAAACAGGAACATGAGGAAGCAAGGAAAAAAAACAAAACCTTGAGAATCTCTAAAGGGCTCATAGGAGTCAGGCACAAAGTGCTTTGCCCTGCTGTCACTGTTCCAGCAGAGAGGGGTTTGTAAGTGTTTGGATTGACCAAAATGCTCCATAAGGGTAGGACAACCAACATTTGTTCTGTGTACATGTAAGAAGCAGGAGCAGAGCACATCACAACTGGCAGGCTGGGGGGCACAGAGGTCCTTGGGCTGTCAGGAGAAGGAATCAGCCCTAACCTGGGCAGGGCTGTGGTGCCAGTAGATTGCAAGAGAAGTGAGGGATGGGTATGGAGTTGTCTGGTGCCCTGAGGCAGAGAAATGTGTGTGAACTGAGCACCAGGTGGGTGAATGCCCTCAGCAGGCTGGGCTCTCCTCCTGAGCCCTGCTGACAGGCCAGGGCTGTGCATTGTGCTTCGTTCTTCCTCTTGACTCTTGCCTGTTTGCAAATTGCACCAGGTCCTGACGCCAGAAGAGCTGAAAGCTGCCCAGACATCAGTGGCTTTTGGATGCATCAAATATGCAGATCTGTCCCACAACAGGCTCAATGATTACGTGTTCTCCTTTGACAAGATGCTGGATGACCGAGGGAACACAGCTGCCTATCTGCTCTATGCCTTCACACGCATCAGGTGAGAGGGGTGCTGGAGCTGCAGGAGCTGGTGCTCTCTGCAGCTGTGTCACAAAGGGACATGTGGGCAAAGGGGTGACAGTCACATCAGTGCTGTTGGGCGTGTTTGTAAGAGAAGCCAGCTACACTGGTGTGCACCACAGACAAGGTTTTATTTGTCATTGCACACGATGTGTCCAGTGCCACCCGAAATGGCTCCTCGGTGTGACATACAGCCCAGGGAGGGAACTGTGGGAGTTCCTGGGAAGCAGAGGATTTAGGTGGTTGGAAAAGGATGCATCTGTGTTCCAGCAGCTGCTCAGCTCAGGTATTGCCACACCCCAGTTTTTCTGGCACCCTGAGCCCTGGTTTGCTTGGCAGTATCAGCTGTCCTGGCTGATGCAGGTGCCTGGGGCCCATCCCTCCCTGTTCCTCTGCAGTGCCCTCCTGGATCCAGGGCTGACTGTCCTCTTTGGTCACCCAGGACTGGGCAGGGGAGGCCATCAGCCCTGAGGCAGGCCAGACAGGTGGCCCTGGGCAGGCTGGGCAGTGGGACCCTCACAAGCAGCCTCTGTTCTGGACCCTTCCAGGGCCATTGCTCGCCTGGCCAACATCGATGAGCAGATGCTGCGGAAGGCAGCCAGGGAGGAGGTGCTTGTCCTCGACCATGAGAAGGAGTGGAAGCTGGGCAAGTGCATCCTGAGGTTTCCTGAGATCCTGCAGAAGATCCTGGAGGACTTGTTATTGCACACACTCTGTGACTACCTGTATGAGCTGGCCACCACCTTCACTGAGTTCTACGACAGCTGCTACTGCGTGGAGAAGGACAGGCAGACTGGTGAGTGCTGGCCAGGGGGTGCTGTGTGTGCCTGTGTCACATCCTGTGGTTACATCCAGCTCCAGGGTGTTAGTTACCCTGTGTTGGAAGGGCTGTTGTCACACTGCTGTGTCCATGTGGGAGGATTGACAGAGACTGTGTTATGATTGAGCAGGAAGGCTGAGCAGAGCTGGGAGCAGCCAGACACCTGCAAACAGGAGGGGTGGTCAGTCTGCCTGGCTTGGGGAGAGCAGGAAGGGTTCCATGTGCCATCCAGGGCCTGGTTTTGGGTGCAGGGGCTTCCCCTGGGGACGGTACTGTTGTTCTGAGCAGCTTCTCCAGCTCCTGTGTCTGTGTTTTCCAGGCCAGATCGTGAAGGTGAACATGTGGAGGCTGCTGCTGTGCGAAGCCACTGCCACCGTCATGGCCAAAGGATTCGACATCCTGGGCATTAAGCCTGTGCAGAGGATGTAGCAGTTCCCTGTGGAATGACAATAAAGGGACTAAACAACTGCAATTCTCTCTGGCTGTTGGAGTGGGGTTGTGGTAAGGGAAAAAAAAGCAGAGGAGGGAGGGAAAAGGAGAGAAAAGGAGTGTGGCTTCAGCAGCTGCAGGTACAGAGGCAGACAAGTGGTGTGAGCACAGCTCAGAGCAATTCTCAGTGCAGGAACCAAAGCCCTTGAACTCACAACATCCAGGGAACCCTCCACCCACCCACACTCCCAGACCCAACAATACTCTGCTCTAGGCTCCCTCCACCCACTTTACCTTAGGTGCCAGGTTTGAGCAGGTCACCCAGCCTTTGATGTCATCTGTGATGGTGCGGGGAGGCAGGCAGCAGCTTTACCTGGAGGAGCAGGAAGCCCAGGGGAGGAGCAGATCAGTTAAACTACATTCCCTCTGAGGAAAACACAAGGGAAATGCCTTTCCCTCAGCAGCAATGGTTTGAATCCCTACAGAGTTGCAAACCTCTTTGTGCAGTGCATATCAATCGTGGGCAGCTACAAGGAGCCACAGCTCCTGCCTTTGCCTTGGGGTTTGTTGGAGGCTCTGCTGTGAGCCTCCTAAAAAAACTTCCAGAGTCCTAAAGCAGCACAAAAATGCAGCTGTGGAACCACTGGAGAGAAGGTGCTGCATTGATGCAGGTGCTCACTGACATATGCATGTGTGTATATGTATGTACATATGCGTGTCTGTATATATAGAGAGATAAGAGATCTGTATCAGGTTCTGCCATGTGCAGAGCGCTGGGGAGGGCTCAGCTCTCACAGCTGCTCAGTGTCCAGTACCTGATGGGGTCGGCACCAGCTGGCACTTCACCAAGAGCACACCTGTGCAAACACTGTCCTTGTGGCTGAGCACTGCCCACAAACCCACCAGGCCTGGCGCTGCTGCCAGCAGGGTGACAGCCATGCATGTCACCAGCTGCCCAGCCGTGTGCTGTGCTCCCTGTGCCCCACCCGTGCCATGGAGCTCTCCCTGCTCCCGGGGCTCAGAGCCAGGCCCTGTCCCTCCCTACCTGTGCCAGCTGGCAGGCTGGGTGGCAGCAGTGACAGCCGGGTCCTGCTCGCGGGGCCACCTCAGTGGCAGAAGTCCAGCGGTGGCCACAGTGACCAGTCCAGCTCTGGGGCCAGAGCAGCAGAGCCAGGTGTTCCTCCAGGCACGGGCATGGCAGGGGCTGCCACGCTGAGCTGTGGCCTCCAGCAGGAGGGGGACAGCCCTCTGCAAGCAATTCCTGAGTCTCAGCACCCCGGGGCGAGGGGCAGCAAGGGTCACAGCAGGGCTGTGGGGTGTCCGTGTGCAGGGGTAGCCCAGAGCTCCCATGGGCTGTTCCATGGGGCCATGCAGCCAGGAACAGGGCTGTGCTGCCAGGGCTGACCTGAGGGTGCAGGGCAGGGGTGTCAGGGCACCCCGAGGGGCCTCAGAGCTGGGCACAGGGTTCAGGCCACTGCTGGGGAAACAGGGGCCATGGTTGGGCTGGGGGTGGAGGGGGCACTTAGGAGCCCTGTCTGGGCTGGAGACTGAGGCATGCAGGGATCAGAGCCCTGGGACCCTCAGCTGTGTCACTCAGAGGCCAGGCACTGGCTATGGAATCAGTGCTGGGGGAGCCCTGTTGCAGGGCCATGGGGCAGTGCAGGGCCATGGGGTGGTGTCCCCTGCCCAGGCAAGCAGCTGGAGCAAAGGATCAGAAGGTCTGAGCTAGCTGCTGGAGTGTGGACAGCACCCCTGAGGGAAAGGGGCCAGGGTCAGGTGGGACAACAGGGCTGGCAGGGCAGCTGCCCTGTCCCACACTGCCAGGGCTGACCCAGAGGTGGCAGCCAGGGTCAGCCAAGGGTAAAGATCATCAGACATCCATCAGACACATCCATCAGACACATCCATCAGACACAACAATGGCGATGAGGTCCCAGGTGGAGCCAGGAAGGTGAGCCAGCCAGGAAGGGAGGTCAGGATCAGGTCCAGGGACAGCAACCAGGGTCAGCCACAGTCTAAGGATCACCAGGCAAGTCCATAATGACAGCAAAGGCCGCGGTCAGGCTGGGAAGTCAGTCTGTGGGCCAAGGTCCAGGGTCAGATCACTGGGGTCAATGGCCAAGCACAGGCATGGCTGTTGCTCTGGCCAGGCCCCAGCAGCAGAACTTCTACCCACTCTCCAGCAGGGATGGCCAGGGCCTCCCTGGCAGCCACTGCCCCACAGGTGCTCTCTAAGCTGTCCCCAAGCCCATGGAGTGAAGCCCCATCACGCTGGGGATGGAGGAGTGCAATAATGACACTCATTTTCCCTTTGGTGGCAGCAGCAGGGTGCCCATCTGTCACAGGCAGAGCAGCAGCTGGGCTGGCAGCGACATTGCCCAGCTGCTGCTCCAAGCCAGCCTCCCCCCAGGATGCCCAGAGCTTTGCTGGGTGACAGTGAGGGACATACCTGGAAGAGCCTGTTGCACTCCATGATCATGTGGGCCAAGCCCTGCGTTGCTGCCAGGTTCTCGTTCAGCTCCCTCTGGTCTGGCTTCCCCAGGCTGCATTTCCTCTGGCTGGACCTAGAGAGGGGAAGGTGAGAGGGAGGCTGGGTGAGCAAAGTGCTGGGAACCACACAAAACACTGCACTGTGCCATGCAGGGCTCTTGCAGTGTGACCACTGAAGGTCAATTCCCTCCCAGCACATCCCAAAGGTGCCCAGGGCACTACTGACCAGTAGTAATGGACACCCAAGAAGGGCAAGTCAAGGAATTTATTCCCCAAACACATCATCATACTTGGCCAAGAACAACAATGACCCCAAGCTCATTTGTGTATAATCTTCAATATCAAGCTGCTGTGATACCTGCAAAGCCCATGCAGAACCTTTTAAATCCTTTGGCCCAAACCACACCCAACACATTTCAAACACAGTCCCCTCTTTTAATTCATGCTAGTGGTATTACATCATTACTCCTGGCTTCTGAAACTTTTATCTATGTACATTCCTGCCAAAGGGCTTGAAAATTGGGTGGAAGATAATAGTCCTGAGTGCTGCTCCTCAGAGTCAGACCTGTCAGCTGGAACCCTTTGAAGTGGGAACCCTGCACCAAGGCATTAATGCACAGTTACAGCAGAGCCACAGCTTCAAAGCATCCTGCCTTCTAAACACTGACAACAAAGAGAAAACCCCATTGCTATCTTTGGTGCTAACATTTCAGAGCAGCGCTGATGTAAAGCAAAGAGGAGCAAGTCCCAGAGTGTGGCTCCCAGGAGCTCAGACAGCCCAGCAATGCAGCAGGACCTGCTGCCCCCACTGCATCCCCTGCCCAGGTGCCCTGGTGGTGGGCCCGTGGCTCCCCTCTGTGCCAGCTCAGCACAGGCATGCCTGAGGCATTTTCTGATGGTTTGTGACATTGAAAAGAAAATCCTCAGTGTTCTCTTTCCCTTCCCCTGTGCTATGCAGAGCCTGAGAGATGCCAACAGCACATCTGACAGTTTTGCTTTGGGGCAGTCCTCCCCTGCAGATCCCCAAGTGAGTGCTCAGCTCGCTGTGCTGTCGGGGGCTCGATGCTCCCTGCACAGCCAGCTGAGCTCTCCTGCCCTGTCTGTCTGTCCACAGCCCAGCAGCACCAGCACAGCACACAGCCCTGCCCCAGGAGTCAGATAAGGCACGAATGCTCTCAGAGATTATTTGTCTACTTTTGCCCAAGGGCACCTTCCTCCCTGCACGTACAGACAGGGGATGTTATGCAACCCAGATACTTTTACTTATTAAGATAAATTTACGGAATCCCCTGGCTCAATTTGGCAGGAATGAGCCCCTTATCACCCAGCAGAACCAGCTGCCTCAATCTGCCAGGTATCTGCAGGGCCTTGAGGCCACACCTGGGCTCAGGTGGGCAGTGCAGGAGCACATTTCCAATGGCCAGCACCACTTTAAGGCTAGCAATGAGCCACATGCTGGGCTCCTGGGCAGCCAGGGGTGGGGGACACACACAGAGAATGGTCAGGAGCACAGCAATGGGGCCTTAGCACAGCCTCTGCACTGGGCAGAGTGACCACACTGCTCCATGCACTGCAGGCAGCTCCTGCTGCACCTCAGCAACCAGACTGAAGGCAAACCCATGGCACACACAGCCCATTTCCCCCTCAAAATCAGACACTGAGCCCAGGCCAGCCACAGAAAGCACTGCTCCAGCAGGAGCACTGTGGACAGCAGCAGTGCCAATACCTGGTAGAGGAGGAGGAGCTGTCCCGCCTCAGGGTGTTGAGGTGAAACAAAGAAGGAGCCAGACAGACAGCAATGTTGGTTGGGGTCATCTGGTTCTCCTCAACAAAAGCCACCACGTCTCGCAGGAAGAACAGGAGGATTTTCAAAGCTTCTCTGTTTTCCTTTGGGAGAAGGAGAATAGCAGCCTGGACAGCCTGAAACTGCTCGTCCTTCGGCACGTCTGGAAACAGAAACCATGACAAAAATCCTGAAAGCACAAACCATTACAAGAATCCCTCATAACCTGCAGAAGGAGCACCCATCACAGGGTCCCCAGCAGGGCCCTGAGCCTGTAGGTTCATCCATTTCCTTATCCCGAGCTCACAGCATACAAGGCAAGGCCATTATCCCACCAAACATGAACCATTTCTCCTGCTGCCTGTCAGGTGCATGTTCACACCCAGGGATGCTGCTGCCTGACTTGCCATTTGTCTTGAACACCATGCTAATGAACACATCCTGAACTGAGTTACAATCCAAATAAGGAGCTGTCTCCCCATAAAATATGACTGTGCAGTGACACTCTGGAGCTGCTCTGTCTTTTCCTTTCAGCTTCAAGCACGAAGAGAGCAGATGCTCTCAGATAACTCAATTCAGAGAGCAGTGTTTTGCCAACAGATTTTAATTCACACTAACCCCCACTGAGACTGTCTGGCCAAACAGCTCTGGCAGGAGGGTGGGTCTGGTTCATCCTGCCATACATCCCCAGCACAAGGATTTCTCCAATTAACAAACACCACTGCAAAGGGCAGAAGATCACTTGTCCTTCCCTTCAGGTAGAAGCACATACATAGAACACACAAAACACACTCCTTGGTGAAAACAGCATAATTCTTATCTCCAAAAGAGTAATTTAACCTGTGCCCTTGCTCCAGAAGATGGGTGAATGGGGTCAATAGAATTTGGGCATTTGCCGTTTCTCTCCCAAAACAAGAGACAGGAGTAGACAGTGGCCAGATTACAGTAATTGGAGGAAAGCAGTTATACATCCTTTGGACATGGGAATTATAGATCTCCTTACAAAGCAGGATTTGTGAATGCAAGAAGAAAACTTATTTCAAACAAATAAGTAATTTTCTGACAAAATTTTAAAACCCTGGCAGGTGATGAAATAAAACCCAACAGAAGTTCCATGAACCTACGCTGTATACAGAACAGCAGCTGCTCAGTGACTTAGGTCAATAAAAGCCACATGGGTTAGGCTGCAATACCAGTCCTCTCAGAAAGCTCAAAATTTGTCTTTCAAAACCCTTTCTCAGAAGCAGAAGAAACTTGTCTGTCCCAACAACATTATCAGCCCTACTTCAAGCTCCTTCCCCAACCCATCTGCTGTTTGAGAGTTAATTCCTTGAGGGCAAAGTGCTGGAAATAGAACCTGTTTAAACTGTATTAAATGCAATATTTCAGCTTTGAGTTTTTTTGGTTTTTGGGTTGAGTCTCAAGGACAGTAACAGTGTGAGCACAGACAGAAAGCTGCTGGCATTTCCCAGCTGTTTCACAGCAGCTGTTCTTGGGCACCTTAATAAAGAAATAAATCAATATATCAGGTCTTCTTGCTCAAGCAGCTATGCCATGCCATGAACAAGGAGACCAGGTTATTTCTTAATTTTGCATGAAGAAATAACTGTTTAAAAACACAGTTTAAAGAGGCTGCTGCAGCATTTCCTTACACTCATCCTTGAGAGAAGAGAACCAGCTGGTTCAGAGGATGCAGAAGGGAAGCTCCCAGGTCCAGAGCCACAGGAACTCATCTTGTCAGAAATGTCTTGCCTGCCTTGTCCCCTCTGACTGCAGGGGACTTGGCACGAGTCCTGCCTGGCCACTGCCTTATGGATATTAACATATCCAAGGCACTGGAAAATGTCAGTGTTAGGTACAGGGGACAGAAGATGACATGTGGACTCTATCATTCAGAAGGCTAATTCTTTTTTATCAAGAAACCCATTGCTTTTTTTATACCCTAGTTCACTACAGGTGGACTTGATTAGTCCTTTAATTAAAACACCACCACCATTGGTTAATTAAGAAACCACCCTTAGGTAAACAAATCTCCATAACACGTTCCACATGTTCACAACACCAGGTGCAGCAAGTTGGGCTAAGAATTGTTTATCATTCTTTCCTCTGATCTTCTCACAGCCTTTTCCAGGACAGAGCTGGGAAATCTGTGTGTTATTCCCTGTGACCAGAGAGCTGGGAAATGCCAGCTCTGGGTACCTACACTGGTAGATGTGCAGGAAGGATTCACAGAGCCTGCTGGTGAAGATGGGCTCGGGGAGGTCTCGGAAATACTGCTTCACCATGTCTGCCACGTCAAAGGCTGACTGCCCCTCGTAGCACACATTGTTTGGGCTGGTTTCATTCATTTCTCTTAAGGACAGGATCCTGGATTTAACGCCCGATTTTCGGAACAGGCCAACCTGTGGGTAAAAGGAATTATTAGAGGCAAAGAGAGGAGTCATTGGGAATCAAAATTTTGACAAATAAGTGATCCCTCACCTTCCTTCAAATAGCAAATATCCTATGGCAGTGGGACTGAACACCAAAATGCTTCTGTATCATTGATTGAACACCAAAATACTTTTGTATCATTAGAAGCCACATGGACATTTCTCTGAGGCAAGACATGCCTGGTACCCACAGAATCAGCTGTGACATACCAATTTTCATCTTTGTCTGGCTTTTATTTCATACAAAAGTACTCATTTTGCCTTTTAAAATCACTACCATTGACATTTGTCCATTCTCTTGGGCAGGCTGTGCTCACACATGGCAACTCTTAAGTTTCAAATTCACCAATGTGCGTCCACCAAACACAAACGTACATTGAGTGCTGGTTTACACAAAGTGACTCTGAGATCCACAAAGCTCCCTGTAACACCTGATACATCTAATGTTTTCCACCTGATACATCCATTTTTCTAATGGCAAAGGGCAGATGCCATTTGGAGGGAAATTTTGATGTTCTTTTTAATATGATTGTCAACTGAGAGAAATTTAGGAGTTTCCCATGAGCTCAACCCACCAAAATTTCTGGTGACAGTTTTACTCTGTGCCACTGTGGCAGTATTTACACTCTTTGGTTTATTTATATGAACTGAATGGATACCATAACCTCAAAATGAAAAACACTTGCATTTGTCACTACACAGAAGTGAAGTCACACACTTTTACACTTTGGCATCATATAACACATCCAGACAACGGCAAAGCACAGGAAGAAAAGTCCTCTCTTTAACTAATGTCTCATGTCACAAGGTCTTCATTTCTGCAGCTATGCTATGGAAACACCATACACAGCATACACTTCTCTGCCATCTCCACTCAGGGGATAAATACACAGCTGAGCTCCAGGAAAAGTTGTAACAGGCACTGCTGTAATGTTTTCTCTCTGCTGAGTGGTGCATTTCAGCTGGAACAAGACTAATTCTCACATCAGCTCTAGCACCAGCAGCAGCCACAGAACAGAGGAACAGTGACATTGCCTGGCAGGTTTGCCTCCCTGGGGAGCAGAGCCATGACACCTCCCCAGGCAAAGGCAGCCTAGAAACTGCCTGCACCAGGAGGGTTTCACTGGGGGAAGGCACAGAAACACAGCACAGGGCTAAAGGCATTTCCAGAGGGGATCAGCACTGGCATTTCCTCACAGGCCACCTGCTCAGAGCTACACCTTTCTGCCTATGCAGAGCCTCAGGGGTAAAAAAGTCCTTCAAAAAAGCATGAAAAAGAGTCTGCTCCCCTGTAGCAGATCTGCTCATGGCCCAGAGCTCTTCTGGGCTGCCTTGAGTTCATACCTGGTCGAGAAAGTGGCTTCTCAGGTACTCCAGGGCTTGCAGGATGCCATTGGGCAAGGGATGGCTTGTTCGCTGCATGTTCAGCAGTAAAGGAACCCCAAACACATTTTTGTCCTTGTAGTCTGAGGCTTTGGGCTTTTTTATGAACTTTGGTATGGTCCTAGAAACAAAAACCAGTAGATGCAGCTTACCAGGTGTGCAGCACATTGCACCTGCTGCTGTACACTCATCAGAAAGGGCTGGGCTGCACCTTGTCACAGCCCCAAATACACACAGCATCAGGAGGGAGAGAAAATCAGCAATCACAGGGATGACTTCCTCATTTCATTGCTGAAATTAACTTTAATAAAGCATCCTCGTGGGAAATGCATTCCATAGGACTGCAGGGTTTTTTCATTCTTTCTATAGTCAAGTGCCAGTTCCCTATCACAAAATGTATGTAAGTCCTCTGAGTGTCTGAATTTGTCACTGGTTTAGTTCAAACAGACAGTGCTGAAGGGCTGGATTCTCAGTCCCACAGTCCCTGAGATGGTCCCCTGGAAAAGGCCTGCAATTGGGCAAATTTAAAGAGAAACTGTGATGTGCCTTAAAATCAGTAACAGCAGCGAGGGGCCAAAGTGCAGCCCACAGCAGAGGAAATCCTGGAGCCATGGAAATAAGCATGAGGCTGCTGGCAATTTAATAGGATAAAATTCTTCATCCTGAACACATGCAATGTAGGCAGACAAGGAAATTCACATGCTTACATCAACCCCTCTCTTTCCAGCTCAGGTTGTTTTAATATCACACAACTTACCAGTTCCAGCCCTGCTTACTGGATGGGGAATATCTGTCCATTAAAGCTGTGAGTTTCAGCAATGCCAGCTTTTGTGTGCGGGCCAGCTGGGCAGCTGACTGGCCATCAGTCTGCAGGGAAAGGCCTTCCAGGTTCTCTTCCACACACCAGTGCTGCTTCCCGTGCCTATGGGACAAACATTGCTTAACCTTAGGACCATTTCCCCATCCCTGTTTCCTACCTGCACCTGTGAAGCACCCAAGACTCTAAATGACCTGCAGTTATTTGCACCTTAACAAGGTGCTTCCCACCCAGGAGGGGCTCGGGCAATACAAACTGTTTCCCTGATTCCTGAGTGCTCATGCAGGTTATGAGTGTCCCTGTTCAGCAGAGGTCAGATATTGGTACCTGTGGAGCAGTACCTGCCACCAGCAGGGCAGACCCTGCTACCTAGCACAGACTTTGTTCTGGTAAATCAATTATCTTTGAGTGGGCAGAATCAAAAGCAAACCCAAGGATGGCTGACCTGTTGGTGTTTTTAGAGTCTGTGGTGTATGCCAGCTCTGCAGAACCAATCTCCTTGCCCAGGCCACAGCTGCTCTCTCCCCCAGCCTCCCCTGCTGCCTTATCTTCTGAGCCCTCTGCTTCAACAGAGCTTTCCTTAGGGGAGGGGGGACACAAAGAGGCCAAGTCACTGGCAAAGTCAGAATCCCCATCATCTGAGAACTTCTCAGTCCACTGATCCACCAGCTTTTTGAGGCCATTGACATCTGCAATGACACTGTTGAGCTCTGAGAAAACGTCGTCGTCGCCGAGCTGCTCCAGGCCCTGCAGCTCGGGGCTGGGCATGTTGTCATACACACTGAGCCTCTGATCCCTGCCCAGCACGGGGCTCCTGGCGCCCCTGGAGCCGCTCCTGCTCCTCCTGCACCCGTGGAAGCTCCCAGTCCTCCAGTTGACAGAGGAGCTGTCTGCAGACAGGGAGCTGTCTGTAAGCACTGTGGGGAAAGTGCCAGGTTTGTGGCCTTGTGGTATTTGAAACATCTGGCTCTTTGGTAATGTCACGTCATTTTTTAGGTTTTGCTGGGATAGATCGTTCCCCAGCAGCAGCTTGCTGGTGTCCATGTGCTCTGCATGCATCCTCCTTCCTTCACAGGGGCTGCCTGGTTTTGTACCAGGCCTTGCAGTGCTCCCTGTGCTGCTGTTCACAGACTGATTGCTGCTATTGCTGCTCTGGGGAGAAAAGGGAGAATTGTTCTTTGTTCGGATGCCAGAGAGGTCAGAAATATTTACACAGTTCAGCATCTTCATCTTTTCTTCATTAAGTCCTTCCAGAAGAACAGGTTCACTTATTATGGGTTTGGCCTTTGACTGACCACTCCTTAAATTGCAGCTCCTTAAGTGCAGCTTCTCCATTTTCTTTAGAAGGCTCTTCCTCTTTTTAGATGGTGACTTATCCAAAAGCTTCTCCTCACTGCTGATATTTAAAAATTCACTGGGGGGAGGAGAACAACTAAAAGCAGAGTCCAGTGAAGGTACCTGAACTGAGGAACACCTTGAGGAGCTCGTGCTGGTTTCCACATCTTCGAAAGGTTTCTGGGAGTTAACAACGTCACTGTCAGCACTGCTGGTGCTGTGAACTGAGGACACATCGTGCTTCTCACCATGATCCAGACAGACACTGTCCTCATTGCTGATGATTTTCAGCACTGGGGTGGGAGCTGCAGCCCCCTGCTCTGCTGGGAGAGCTGCCAGGCTCCCGACGCGAGACCAGCGCTGGCTGCACCTCTCGTAGGCCCACCTGTCACTGATGGCACAGGGCTCATCATCCTCAGAGCCATCACTCTGGGAAGGAGAAAAAAAAACAACACAAATTCAAGGGCAAGGTTTGGCAAATTTTAAATTACAAAAAGCAGTTCAATATAAAATGTAGACTTAAATTTTCTGCCGACTTCTGAAACCCCCACAACTAACACAGGGAAATGTGACCACTCAGACATTGAAGATCTGCCCTAAGTTAGTTGAAAAACATGCTGACAAATGATGCCCAAGCATGCTGACAATCTGGGAAGCTGACCACAGGAAAAAGTGACAGATTTGATCTGAGGGTGAAAATTCCTGTTTTGTGGCAAATCCAAGCATTTTGAAAGATAGTTGTCTTGGGTTTACACTGCCTTTCCTAAAGTCAAACAAATCAAACACACTCACACTTCTGTGACCAAAACTCATCCATTTTCAGGTAAAGAAGTGTTTAGCTGTGGGGCTGTGCAGCATCAGTACCTGTGCACCCTTCTGGAGCTCCCACCTGCACCAGGTGCCCTTTGCAGGATTGTCCCCACTCTGAGGGAACACTGGGACAGTGGAATGTTGGAGAGATGGGAGCCACCTGCCTCTTCTCCCGCCCCATTCTGCCCCAAGAGAGAGCAGGACTCTCCAAAACCCAGAATTTTTCCAGAATTTGGCATTATTTTCTCCTAGTCCTGCAGTTAATCCCCGGTGGCTCAGAGGTTTGGCAGAGCTGGTGCTGCCCAGCCAAGCTTTGGGCACCATTCTGATTTAGCTGCAGTGGCAGAGCACAAAGACAGCACAGCTAAAACCTACCTAGATTGTATGGGCTAAGCATTTGGATTGCCCTTTTAATTTCTTTGTGTAGTCAACAGGAGTGAAATTTCACTTTCAGCAGTTAAATAAGGTGGGAAACTACATAGGAAAGCAATGATAGCCATGCTGGGATGGGGCTTTGGGGCAACTTCTCCTCCCCCAGTGAATTTTTGGACAATAACCTGTGTCAAATAAAATTTTAAAAGTGTTTCAAAAGCCACCCCAACCTACCTTGCAAAGTTTCAAACATTATGTAGCAGCAATCTCCATCCCTATGTTTTCTCAACATGACATGCAAATAGCAGAGCTTTGTGGAATGGAATAGAAAGGCAAGTTCAGGAATTGCTAATCCTTCATGCACTTTTGAACCCAGGTGTTTGATACAACAGCTCAACACATGTTTAATCAGAACAGGAACTGTATGTTACAGACATACCCGATTCCTGTCACGGCTTATTTCCACTTTCATTGATGCATACTTGTTCAATGTGTTCAACCTTCTAGGGTTTGAGAAAAAACACAGGAGTTTTACATTTCAGCTATTTTATTGCTTGAAAACAAACATGCACCAAACTAGTTGTGATCTTCTACCAGGGAGTCTTCACTATTGTCAAAGAGTGACATTCTGCTAGAGGCTCCCATACACTGGCCCCAAAACCAGCACCAATAACAACACCATGGTGTTCACACTTCCAGTTCTGCCATCGTAAAACTAGAGAAGACAACAATCAATCCTTTAATTAAAAAAAAAATCATATTATTAGTGCTAATGATTGTGAAAAACTTCATATTGATTTAAGATTTTGAAAAGAAATTAAATTCTGTGTGGGCTCCTCAAAAAAAAAATTAAAAATGAAGATGTTAACCTGTATCTCTGAAAGGATTAATTATCTATCATTTTAATCAAAGCTTGTGGAATCAGTAAGGTCCCCAAACTAGTCAATCACTTAGTTGTCAAACAATAGGTGGCATCAACAGGAGGCACATTGAGAGTCTCCAAGGAGCAATCAGGACAGAAGTGACACCAAGAAACAAAATATAGCCAAAGTTCTCTAACATCTGCTGTGCTTTAGAGATGTGAGTGTGAACAGCTCCTCTTGGTGCTCTGGTGCAGGCAGAGCAGGAGCTCAGAAAAGGACCAGAACACCTTTCCAGGAGAGGAACTTTGCAGTGCCCTAAGTGTTAGAGACCATCATTTCTGCTGAAGAAACTCTGCTGAACAACCTCCTCATGAGGAGCTGCAGTAACTGCAGCACCAGCTGAAGCAGGAGCCTCCCACTGCCCTGGCTCTGATCCTGGGAAAATTCCACAGGGCCCTGAGTCTGACTGGGCACTGCCAGTGCAGGTTCACCTGTGTGCTCTGAACAGCTGTGGCAAAGCAACAACTTCAAACCAGTACCTTTGCTTCTCACCCAAAAAAATATTCAGGAAAACAGAGCAGATCTCAAGCACATAATTTTTTTTCTGTCTATCTGCTGGAACAGGAGTTGGAGGAAATTCCTGCACTCCATTGTACATGATCCTAGAGAGCAGCCTGCCATGCTTGCAGGGAGCTGGTTATTTTTAATCAGCTTGCAGCCATTTCATATCACAAAAAAGATATTTAATGCTAAATGTAACATCCCTGAGAGCTTGGCTGAAGAGCTTACTTTACCTTTTAATTCCTAAAATAACCAACTATATTGGCACTAAACTGTGGTGAAGTGATTTCCTTCAGTCACAGATTTGGTGACTTTGTTCCTCTCTGACAAAAGCAGAGGCATGAAAAGATGAGTAACAAGTCACTGGGGGGCTGAGAGTATCAAAGATGATCCATGATTAATGTTTACCTGAACAGTGATTCAATTGCATCTCCATCTAAAAACTCATGATCTCTCCTCACAGTTTTTACATCAATGGGAAACTGCATATCTGTGAACAGAGAAGTTGAATCTGAAATCTGAGCTGTAATTGCAAAGACTTTCAGTTTTGCAGCTTATTTATCACAGGATGAAATGAAACCACTTCTATTTCTATAGCTGTGCACTCATGCAAACATCCTTCCAGCAAGAAAGGACCAGTTCCTTAGGGCAAGTGGGGGAATCAATGCAGGGATCTGCTTGCTGCTGTGGCACAGGTGGACAAGCCCTTCTGCATTTCCAGGAGCTTGCAGTCACTGATGAGAAACACAAAATAACCTTTAGATTTGCTTTGGCTCTCTGCACCTTCTACAGGATAAAGCGGGGATTTATGTTTTTGCCATGGTGAGGTGCAATGCGGCACATGAGATGCACTCTCAGCTCCAGGGAGTCTGACACATCCTGCTGGGCTGGGAGATGAAGAGTTCAGTGTTTCAGCTCCTGAGATTTAGCCTTGCACATGGGGGAACCACTGGGGTCCATATGTGTTTTCTTAGCTTATTTTATAAGCTTTATTTTGCTAGCCAGGTCAGGAAACAGCATAAGCAGCAAGGTAATGCAGGGGATTCATTTTCCAGAAGCATGGCAATGAACATTTCCAACAAACAGCTTATGGAACACAATCTGCTGTGGGCAGACAGGAAGCATTTCCAGGTTTCATTTTCCAGCTTTCAAACCCAGCTCTACAGGCTTGACTTCAAATCTTCAATTTTGCAGTGACTAGGACAGGTGGGAATGAGAGCAGTTAATGTTGTTCTTTTAACTGTGGTTCTTTGATAAAATCTTTCTTAAATTAGGTTAGATTTTGTTACTTTCAATGTTTGTAACAAAAACCATATTTTAAAGTGTAACAAAAACCATATTTTAAAGAAGAACAGTTCTAAGGTATATGCACAAGTGTGGCCTGAAAAATTATACAAGCTCTCAACAAATCCATACCTCCTCCCAAGAAATAAGCACACTTTGGAGTTTTAACAACATGAAAACATGCTGAAATTGCATTTTTGACTGGCTGGCTGCTGCTGAATATTCCTCCTGAACACTTATGATTGCAAGATGATTTTTTGCAACATTCTTTTTCAAAACACCAATAAAGCAATCTCACTCAGATCACAGGCTGGAGAGCCTCAGAGGAGTTTTGGATGCAATCAGTGGTTGGAAACATCACTTCCAGCACCCCAAGGAAAAGAGCCTGAAAAAATTATAAGCAACTAAAAATAACAAAAGCAGAAATTTGACTGAGTTGCAGTCTAACAATAGGAAAAGAAAACCAGGGAAGATTTGGTCCTTTAAAGAATTGTACTGAGTCCCTGCTGAGATGTCCCTTCTGCAAGAAATCACACCAGGTCACTCCTTCCCTCCAGGTTGGCATGAAGATATAACAGAATTTGGAAGTGCTTCCATCAGAAGTGTCAGGTTCTAAAATATATTATTTATGTGAACAATTCCACTCAAATTCAGCGTCAGCTGCTTGGCAAGTCTTTGTGATCATACCTTCAAACAGCTGAGCATACTGGGGAAATCCAGCAGCTCTCAGCCAGTCGCAGGCTTCTCTGGCTTCAATTTCTGCAGGGAGAACACACAGTGGTTCATGGACAGTGCTCAGCAGAGGCAGTGAGAAGCTAATTTCACCTGGCACACTCTCTGAAATCTTGTGTGTTAATGTTCTGCTAGGATATTGCTAAAAAGGAATAAATCCTTGTTCCGATGCACATACAAAGTTCTGTAATAGTCATTCATGCTATTGAGATAAGCAAATATAGGATTGATAGATTTGAACACACACTTGGGATGTCACACAGGGGGGTAAATCAGCAGTGATAAGCTAATTTCACCTGGCGCACTCTCTGAAATCTTGTGTGTTAATGTTTTGTTAGGATATTGCTAAAAGGAGTAAATCCTTGTATCCAATGCATGTCGCTCTGCAATAGTCATTCACACTATTGAGATAAGCAAATATAGGATTGATAGATTTGAACACACACTTGGGATGTCACACAGGGTGGGTAAATCAGCTGTCCCTGAGCTGGGGCAGTGGAGCATCTGCTGTCAGTAGAAATGAGTGATCAGAGCAGAGTGCGGGGCTCACATCTGTGCCCTCACATGGCAAAGCCTGCTCGTGCATTCCAGCACTGAGAGATGGTGATAAGACACAAACAAACCCTATAAATAAACTTAAAATGCTCTCACTACTTTAATAACACTGGCCACGGCCTAAGCATTCCCAGAACAAGAGTTCTCAGGAGTACCTGTTGCTAGGCTCTATCAATATTTATTTCCTTGCCAACTACCTCCAGCCCTTGGCAGTGAGCACAGCAGATGTCAGGAACTCGCTGCTCGCTCTGTGACAGCTGGGCAAGGCTGTGGCCAGCACTGCTGGAACATCCCACAGAGGCAGAGCATAGCCCAGCTCACAGAATCACGCACATTCTGTGAGCCCGGCCCCACAGAATCACGCACACTCTGTGAGCCCGGCCCCACAGAACCACGCACACTCTGTGAGCCCGGCCCCACAGAACCACGCACACTCTGTGAGCCCAGCCCCACAGAATCACGCACACTCTGTGAGCCCGGCCCCACAGAACCACGCACACTCTGTGAGCCCGGCCCCACAGAACCACGCACATTCTGTGAGCCCGGCCCCACAGAATCACACACATTCTGTGAGCCCGGCCCCACAGAATCACGCACATTCTGTGAGCCCGGCCCCACAGAATCACACATTCTGTGAGCCCAGCCCCACAGAATCACGCACATTCTGTGAGCCCAGCCCCACAGAATCACAGAAACAGGCAGGTCAGCATGGGTATGTGCCCCCAGCTCTGTTCTCTGAGCACTGCAAGTGTCTGGGTCTGTGGAAGAGGAGAGGATTCCTAAATACATTTCTGCAGGTCTGTGTGCACCCCATTGTGTGCTACACCAGCCTCCAACCTAAAAGCAAAGTCTTCTTGGAAAGGAGCATTGCTGAGCTACCTGAAAATCCAGCATGCTCAGTAGAGAGAAATGTTTTTAAAGCACCTTAAAGAGTAGCATGATAGGCCAGAGGAACTATTTTCTTTACACACACACTCACAGATTAGGATTCCAGGGCACTTCACATTCATACCTGTTCAAATTCACTGCCTGCTTTGCTCAGGCTTCTCAATTGTAAGTCATCAGTGCAATCAGACACTAACCAAAAAATATCACACAACTTCCAGGATTTTATTTTTCTACTTTAAAACTTAAAATTGTTTCCATTATCACTTAATCAAATTGAACAATGCTGTTCTAACAGAGGCTTCCCTTCACAAAACTGCATGGCTTTTTCATCTGAGAATGAAGTGCTACCACAGGAAGACCAGGATATTTTTACACAAAACAGATGGATGAAACTCTTTTCTCCTACTGCAGAACAGAAACTAATTTCTTCTACAAGAAGAAATATATATCCACTAGCCTATATCCACTATGCCTATATTTAGTGCCATATTTAGTGCCATAATTTATCATAATCTTTACCACAACACAGCATTTACTGGAGACAATGAAAGACAAGCATTGTATTCACAGGGAAGAAGGAAAGGGAAAGGAAAAGGAAAAGGAAAAGGAAAAGGAAAAGGAAAAGGAAAAGGAAAAGGAAAAGGAAAAGGAAAGCTATATGTAGGAAAGAGCTAGGAGGATGACCAGCCTAACACTAAAAGTTTTCACAAAGTGATTTTCATTTAGAGAACCCCAGCAGATCCACTCAGCCACCTCAGCTGCGGAGGAACTGTAGCTGTCCTCATTCAGACCTCAGGCTGAGCACAGCAATCCTGAGCTCAGACAGGGACTCTCGAGGGGCTGAAGCTTCCCCAGTTCCCATCACATTAAAAGCACAACTCCACTTTTAGACCAAACCAAGCCATGAAAAGTGATGCAAAAGAGAACAGAAAAAATAGGCAGAAAAATATTTTGCCCCTAGTGAGGCTATTTTCAATGAATGTGGCTGAAAACACACACTTACAGGTGGCCTCTTCCATAGAACAAGGACAGAGGAGCTAGGGGAATTTTCTCTGCTGATGGAAATCTCCAGGCCTTTTAACATACCTTTGCACAATCACAGGGCATGTTTGGATTAGATATTGGGAAGAAATTCCTCCCTGTGAGGGTGGTGAGGCCCTGGCACAGGGTGCCCAGAGCAGCTGTGGCTGCCCCATCCCTGGAAATGTTCAAGGCCAGGTTGGACAGGGCTCAGAGCAACCCGGCCTAGAGCAGGGGATGACAATTTTTAACATCTTTTGGGTGTTTTCTGCACAACTGAAATAGCAGAGCGACCTAAATGTGTCACCTCCCTCTCCTGAACTGATTTCATAATTAAGCAGATGGGGAAAAAAAAATCCTGCAAAACTTAATATTCCCAGTTTAGAGGCTGCCAGCAGCTCCTCCATGCCAAGGCAGCTATTTCCCCAAGGCGAGGGGTGGTAGGTTACTATCAGATGTTTATGAGAAACAACACAGAGCACACAGGCTGTGCCACCCTTTGGCTGTGCTGTGTCCCACAGGTACATTCTGTGCTGAGGGCTCAGCCCAGGCCCCTGCACAGAGCATTCACAGTGCTGCCTGTGCCCCAGCCCTGCCCCTTCCTCCCTGGAGCCCCAGTGCCTCCACCAGGGCTGGGACACTGTCACAGACATCTTTTCATGAAGATCCTTTCCTTAGGACTTTTAACTCCTGAGAAGCTGAGAGGCCTCAGGAACAAAATGCAAACAATGGTTATCTGCTGCTGTGGAATGCAACAAGTGGATCTGTGATTGGTCTCATGTGGATGTTTCTAATTAATGGCCAATCACAGTCAGCTGGCTCAGACTCTCAGCCCGAGCCACAAACCTTTGTTATTCATTCCTCTCTATTCTTAGCTTAGCTAGCCTTCTGAGATGAAACATTTTCTTCTATTCTTTCAGTGTAGTTTTAATGAAATATATATCATAAAATAATAAATCAAGCCTTCTGTAACATGGAGTCAGATCCTCGTCTCTTCCCTCATCCTAAGACCCCTGTGAACACGGTCACAGGACACCTCTCTTGCACCTCTCCTGGGCTGAGAAGCTGTGTGTCCTATGTGAGACTGTTTTGAGAGAAGATGGCACCTCTCCTGCCCTGAGAAGCTGTGTGTCCCCATCTGAGCACTGTCCTGAGTGCAGCCTGCAGGACCCACACTCCTCATCAGGTATCTGCAAACCAAGTGCTGCAGTGTGAATTAAATCCCTGTCAGAATGAACAGCACTGCTAACCAGATTGTTTGCAGCAAAGGAAAGACATCTGTGCTGAGATTTGGGCATTGTCTCTGAGATGTTTTCCTGACAAGAAGCACTTCCCTGACAATGAGGCAGAGGCAGCAACCCAAACCAGTGACAGCAGTGTATACAACAGGCCAGGCAGCTTTACTGTGAGGAGAGCAAACTTCAGCTGAAGAAGAACATCAAACTGTACTTTAAATTTTAAAGTACTCTAAATAAAATGGGAGAATATCAGTTTCTTTTTGAAAGCACAGCACAGTGAACCTTGCTGCCAGGATGCAGTGTGACTTTCAGCTGCTGCCAAAGCAGGAGACCTCTTCCATTGCCCAGCTGTGAGCTCCTACTCCTCACTGACACCCTGAGCTGATGCCAGCAGGTCCTGTCAGCCAAACTGGCAGGAAATGAGTCACTCTTGTTTGGCAAGATGAGATTTAAGAAGTTTTAGCTTTCTGAATTGGCTACCACATGTTCTGATAGGTTCCAGTGGCAGGACAAGGGCAGTGGTGGGTCCAGGCCAGGGAGCTCAGCCTACTGTGAAACCTTTACATAAATGTATTGCTTTTCACAGAGGTGTCTCATTGTAGGTCTTTTTCAAAGCAGTTTTTAAACAGGTTTTTAAAACCAATGGTAGATTGCTTCTATCTCCATCCAAAATAGTTTTCCAGTTTCAACAGGTAGGAATCACATGGTGATCAGGACTTCATGAATTAAAGGGATTTAAATCTGAACACCTTCCAAAACCATGGCAGGAAGAAGAATAGTTGGAGAGGTTTTCCTGCTGTTTGCAGCACTCCTGCATTAGCTACTGCAGGACCCTCCTTGTCCCCTTTTCTGTGGGATGCAAGTGTGGCGCTTGTGGCAAAGAAAGGATTTCTCAACACGCCCAGCAGTCAGGAGAACAGAGCAGAGGGTAGGACTGACTCCTCACTGACTGGCATTGCACCACTTTGTAACGAAACAGAAACAATCCCAAAGGATTTTGCTCTTTCCCAACCTCTCTCATTACACAGAAGATTTTTTTTTTCTCTCTAAATGGCAGCAATCCTCCTCAGCAGCCAGAGCCAAGCAGGTGCCCAGGGTGCCCAGCTCCCAGCCTGCCTGCTGTGCCAGCAGGGCAATGCTGCTGCCTCTCTCATCTCTGACATCCCGCACTGCCATCCCCAGCTCCCAGCCTGCCTGCTGTGCCTCTCAGGGCAATGCTGCTGCCTCCTCTCATCCCTGACACCCCTCACTGCCATCCCCAGCCCCCAGAGCTGCAGCCAGCACTGCAGCCTCATGTCAAACTCTGCCCCACATCTTCCTGCAGCTCAGGAGCCCTGGGCTGGGGACTGGCAGGTCCTTCACACCCTGACTCAGATCCTGTCCTTGCTGCTGGTGCTGGCAGTGCTGGAAGTGACAAGGGGTTTTCAGGTTCCATTTGAACATCACAGGATGAGTTTCCCATCACATCTTTCTGGTTTCAGCATCTTCCTAGGGCTGTAAGAGTTGATGTGACTTCCCTGTGACTTACAGCTGCTAATAAGGCATTTCACTTTACACACACCCTGTGAAAAATGCATTTGCTGTGCTGGAACTCTGACTTCTGGATGTTCAGAACTGCATTTTACCTGTGACAGGATTTTTAATAACTGTTTTTATTTACATTATATCCTGTTACTTAAAAAGAGAGTGGGAACATGATGTCTGCTCAATGCTGGAGGCTCAAAAGCAATGCTTTCAAAGGAGGGTGTTTGCACTGACCAAGATAAGCAGCCAGGGACTTGTAAAACTGTCCAACTCTCCAAGAGCTAAGATGGATCATAAATAAGTGGAAATGTTTATTCTGTTTTCTCTTGTGCAATGCAAAATATCAAAGCTTAATTGTACTTTAGTAACCCACTTGAGGAAGAAGGGGAAAAAAAAGAGATTATAGCTTGGAATTTAGCCAGGATAATTTAGGCTCCATGCAGATAGTGAACATAAATGTCTGGAAAATGAAAAGGCCAAGATATTTGTCCTTTCATTCCTACTTTACTATCATGCTGGTGTTTTGGAACTGCAGCCAACTCTTCAGTTATCACAGCTGGGAACTGCAATGTATCCCAGAACTTTGTGGCAACCTTAATTGCATCTTTATCCAGCTCCTTGGCATCAGCTCCCAGGCTGATTACCAGGACTCCCAAGCTGATAGTAAAGCCTTTACTCAGGTCCTTGTCATTTTCCTCCCCTGTTGGTTCCTGGGACCCAGACAAGTTTAAAGGCATTTTCTTTGTAAACCACATTAACTGGCTTGTCAGTGCTGCCTGATCTTTTAATTGCTTCTGAGTGTGTTAGAGAAGGCAGTGTTTGCTCTATGGGAATTTTGAAGGGCTCAAGGAAAGTTGGTACCTAATTCCCATCAACTTCAGGAGAAATGAGACTGTAACTCTCTAATTTCCAATCCACACTGGAAAACCCTTATCCAAGTAAGTAAGGGATGTATCTCCCTGCAATCTAATCCCACATATGTTGCTTCACTGTGCTTCAGCCCTGCTGGCTGTGAAGCAGGAACAGATCCCACATTTCTCTGAGGCAGAAGCTCCTTATGGATGTTTGTGCGCAGGACCCTTGTACACAATTGAGAAAAAATTGATGCAAGATTTCTGGGAGGAACTGTAGCAGGGAGGGTACTGCTGGCTGCCACTAGAGCCAATACCAATAAACATATATATATATATATGTTTATAACAATATAATGTAGCACAGAAGTAACAAACCCCAAAACAAGTGAACTGTCTGTGCTCTTTCACTGTGTAGCACTAAGTTTTCTTTAATTATACAAAATGCCAATAACACCACAGGTCCAACCTACATGTAAGGAACTATTTAACCAACAGAGACTGCCCAGTAAGTGGTTGTAACTAAAAGCAAGCTGGATTATTGCCCCTGCTAAGTCGGTGCTGAGCCCAGGGCAGTGGACAAACTTTTACTTGGTCATTCTGCCCTGATGGAGCTTGTTGATATTCGAAGATATGCAACAAAATCAGACAACCTACCTGGAACTTTCCACATGCATCCAAAATGTCAGCAAAGGCAGCAGCTACTGGAAGAGCATGATCCAAAGTGTTGATAGCCAGAGAGCTGCTGTCACACTAACAAAGCAGGGATGGAAACAGCAGCACACACTGGATCCTCACCTGGGGATGTCACTGACCTGGATCTTCACCTGGGGATGTCATCTGCTATAGCACCCACTGGATTCTCACCCAGGGATGTCATCTGCCATAGCACGCATAGGATCCTCACCTGGGGATGTCATCAGCACCCATGGGATCGTCACCCAGGGCTGTCACTGACCTGGATCTTCACCTGGGGAGGTCATCTGCCCATAACACCCACTGGATCCTCCCCCGGGCATGTCATCTGCCACAGCACCCACAAGATCCTCACCTGGGGATGTCATCTGCACCCACAGGATCCTCCCCGGGACTGTCACCTACCCACAGCCCCGTGTCCCGCCGGCGCTGCAGCCGCTCTTTCCGCTCTCTCCGGTGTCTCCGCTGTCTCCGCCCTTCCCGGCCGAGCCCCGCCCGGCCCCGTTCCCGACCCGTGCCCAGGAGGGCTGTCCCGGCTCCCTGCTGGCTGTCCCGAGTCCCTGCCCAGCCCTGCTGGCTGTCCCGGGTCCCTGACTGTCCCTGCCCGCCCCGAGCCGCTGTCCCGCGCCCGCACCCCGCACTCGTTCAGACCAAGGCAAATCGATATCCCCTGGTTCCCTTGCTGGCTTATCTCCGTGCTTTAAAGTTCTGCCAATTCCTCAAAGTTTTACAAAATCATCTCCCTTTTTTCCCTTTTTCCCCTTCAGAACTGTGCTGCCTCTGCCCTGCCCGAACACACCGGCCCGACGCTGCATCCCGAAGGAGATGCTGTGCCCAGCGGCACGGGAGGAACGGAGCAGGGCTGGGATGGGGGATCCATCCCTAAAACCTCCCCTCATCCCCGGTACCGAGAGTGCCCCAGCTCACGGTGCTCTGCAGGGCAGGTCCCTCACCACAGTGCTTTTCATGGATCAGACACAACCTGGGCTTTATTTGGCTTATATGGACTTAGTCTGGACTAAAAAGGGTGTGTGGTCTGAAAAGCTCACATGCAGTTGAGCAATGAACCTGGGTGCTGAAATCATATTAGCATGGTTGTCAACCTCTGCAACAGACTCAACCTCTTTGCATTTCCTGTAGTTCATTGCTGCTGTGATCTGACTTTATTATTTTAATGATGCAGCACAAAATCTAATAAAAAACCATGATCAGTCTTTGCAGACTGAACAATCATCAACAGGTACAGAGTGGCATGTAGGCTGGTCTCAGAAGAACATATCAAAAGTTTAAAATTATTTCACTAGAGGTTAACTTTAAATCCCTAATAATTTCATATCTGCCTGACTGTCAGGCATTACATTTCAATAGGACAGTTGGAAGGGTGGGATGCTGTTAATTTACACAGGTTGAAAGGTAATTCAGACTGTGAACAACTCCAGGAAGCCAGACAAGGCTCTAAATTTCTGTAGAACAACTTCATGCAGTGTTTAGGTTCTTAAGAGTTTGGAGCCTAAAACACAGCAGAGAAAATAAGAATTTGAATGAAATGGATAAACAAAAGTTTTTAATTTAAATAAGTATTCTTATAGATGAAGAAATCTTCTTTTTCACAATCTCATTTAGGAACATCATACCCTAATGAAGTTATAATTTATGGGTGTGTTTCATTATCTCTAGTTTTCTGTATAACAACCAAATACAAAATTTGCACAGACCTATGATTTATTTTTGTGCAATTGCTTCCTAAATGGGCAATTTATATGGCACAACGAAGAAGATGTTTGATATTGGCACTGGGTGACACAATACTAAAGAAATTAGGGTACTGTGATATATGGCATTAGCCATGATTACCTAAGAAAATGCTTTTTGCCAGACCCACCCAAAGCCATATAAAAAGTACACACCCTGCTCTGATTAAATTTGCAGCTATGTGCTTGGATTAGGAAGACAGAATGTATCATTTAAATCTGGGGATAACATCAGCAGACTGCTCCCATCCATAGAAATGAAATGCTCCAACCAGAGCCTGCAGTTTCTCTTTCCCACCCATTTTCCTTTGGGCATTTCCTGTGAGATGACACTGCACAAACCTAAAATGCTCATTTTCTTCCTCTTTAACAACAAACTACCACCAAGCTCCCTAGTTTTTTGTGGGTTATCAGCCATGCAAAGACTCACATAAAATCTTAGGGGTGAACGCTTTCAATCCAACACAGCATTAAGTGAGGAGTTCCTGAAGGCTCTCCAGGAAGGAATCACATTCCTCCGTTTTGATCACTTTATATATCCTAGAGGACAACAAACCCAAGGAATCCTGGCATCTGCCTCTCACTAGAGGAGGTCCAGCCCGCCCACAGGAGGTTCCATGCTGGAGTAAAAGGTGTCTGCAATAAGGATGTCTCAGCTTCAGAAGGGGATTTGGGTATTTTCACAGCCTCTCAAACCCTCCACATGCAGCTGCCTGGATGATGACTTGTGGGGCTGCTGCTGGAGGTTCCCAAGCTGGAGGGAAACACAAGAAGAGGCTTCTGCTCACCTTTTCAGCTCTCCAAGGACCACAATAACATCACCTCAAAGCTTATGCCATTGTTTGGGACTGACACCTGGGAAATGGGATCATTTCCCCCAAATAGTCCTTGTTGCTTGATTTCCTGTTTTCTGGACCCACCTACCCCCACTGAAGGCTCTCCAGAACTTTTCTGAGGGGTTTCCTTCCAAGCCTTGGGCAAACCCCTGACTGTAGTCAGCTCACGCAGGGATTCTGCCCACAGCAGCTCCAAACCACTCACATTCCACCTCCCTCAAACGTGGTGAAAACAATCCTGGAGAGGGTCCTTTTAAACAGCTTCACAAAGTACTGCATGACCAATATTAATTGTTTTTAGAAATGAGCCTGCTGTGCTGAATCCCTCGCTCATGCTTTACCAAAACTCTGCAGAACCCCAGTCAGCAAAGCTGTTTCAGACACTCACTGTGCCAAGCAATGGGGTCACCTCCCATTCAAACGAAGCTCCCTGCATATTTCAATTCCTGCCACTGGAATATTTCCTTACATTTACAAGATATCACCTCACTTCTTCCTTCCCCTCTTCCCGTTTTGCCACCTCCCTCCACACTTTCCATGAATCCAAGCTGAGTGACATTTCATTTCTAACTCTCTCCTGGTAAGATCACAGAGTAATTGTTTTCTATTTCTTCTCTGATCATCTTGAGTTAACACAGGAGATCAAGGAACCTAACTTCAGTTGTGACTATACTGGGAGGCATCAAGAAAGATATTTCTATGGAAACAAGTTGTTCAGAGAGAAGCCAAATGATTAATTAACAAGTTAGACCAATTGGGAGGAAAAATGCAGAACAAAATTCAGGCAATACATTGAGACAGTTAAAAGAGGGGGATGTTAAAGGTAGTGGGGAATAACTGTCAGTTAGAAAGAACAAAATTAATGAGCTCACTAGAAAAGGATTTAGAATTTAAAATAATTAGATGAAATTGAGGGGAAAAAAGGTTAACAAAACCAAAAAACCCTGAGAAGGAACTCCATTGGTTGAAAAGTATTTTTCCAGGGGCAAAGACTGAAACTTTATTATCCATGACACAAGAGAGATTGGACAAACTGCACATACTTGTATTGAAGGGGGAAAGATGGATGAGCAGAAACAGTGTGTCACTATTTTTCCTCTCTTGTGACAGGAGTAAGCTTAATAAAGTCTTTAACATTTATTAAAAAGAGGAAAATAATATTGTTAAATGTAGACTCTTGGATATGCTGAAATGCTGTTGAGGTGAAGTCAAAACCTAAACCCATCATATTATAGAAGTGACATTTGTTACCACTCTGGTCTTCTGTCAGAAGGCAGATGTGTGAGAACAGAGGTAGGAGAAAATAAGCACATTCAGTGTCCCCCTGAAATTAACAATTTTTTTTTTTTTTTTTTGCTGAAAGTCAAGATAAAATGGTTTGGGTCCAAATAATTCGAAAAGCTCTTGGAATCAAAACCATTTAGATGTGATTTTCCAGACTTCACCATCAAAATCTAAAAACATGATTAAAAACTTCTAAATGGTTTTCATGTTATTTTCTCCACCTCCCAATGAACTTTGCTTGGCTGCTTGCACTGGGACATTCCAGTGAAACCTGCAGCAGATAAAGCATTATCCCATTTCCACGCTTATTTTCACAGAGCTGAACTCTAGAAAATGCTGCTATGTATCCTAACAGGATCAGGTCAGCATTAATTCTAATTTTTATATCTTCCTTTCTAAACCCAGCCTTCCATTAAAAGGTCACAACAACACAAAATAGTTTTAGGAATTACCCATACCCTACCCACCCTTACCTCTTCTGGAAATTCCTGCAAAATAAAACCCAGGGAGAATTTCCCTTCTAATACAAGAAAACAACTGAGATTCAAAGATAAGCCCTTTTTTAAAATGGAAATGTAAAATTTCCTGGTTATTCCTATATCCCTAAGAAGTAAGTGCCTTCATATGGCTGTTTACCTGCTCCTATGATAATCACAACTACTCCTGTTGTTATGAAAGGAAATATTGTGGAATTGTTGCTCCTGGAAAACAACACAATCTTGCCTCAGCCAGCAGGTGTCAATTGATTTGATCTTTCCTCCTTTAAGTTCTGATGCCCCAATTTCCATTAAAATTGTGTAATCTGTTTCTCATTAGAGCAGGTCAAATCTCAAGCTGGAATTAAGCTTTTGCCTTCTGTTGTTAAAAGTTAAGCATTTTTTAGAGAGGAAAACACTATGCTATCAGGATGAATTCCAGGGATTTTCTCAGGAACTTTTAGGGTTTGACTAAACAAATTGAAGAATTCTTTCAGAACTATTGAAGTTCCTGAAATGTGGGTGAGAGAATGCTGGCAACAAAAACCATAACTTCTTGTTTCTTAGATTCACAGACCCTTTAACATGAAAAAGCTCAGGAGAAATGGGTGCATGGAGCTGTAAATCCATGTCCAGCGTCCATATCTAGGAACAGAGCATGGAGGAGTTTATTTAGTGCAGGGAATGGGGTACCCAGAGCAGAATCACAGCTCTGAGCCCCTGCCAGCCACAAAAACGAGCAGAGTAAGCACTTTGATTTTCTCATCACTGAACTACTTCTATATCAAGAGCCACTTTAAAGCAAAGGTGACATTGAAGACAGAGCCACGGACACTTCTGAAGTCTCCAGATGAATGTTTAAGCTGCAGAGCCTTGGCCAGGGCTCTGGAGGAGCAGAGCAGAATCTCTGCTCCAACCAGACCTGCGCAAGGAGGGAAAGCCCTGATCGATAACACAGCCTTGGAGGCTTCTTTCATCTCTTTCTTCCAAAATCTAGTCCATGCTTTGGATAAATATAACTGGATTGAAAGCACACTGCAGAAAAAGTTTGAGTTAAAGTCAACATCTGACCGCTGAAGCTGAAAAAACCAGTTCTGCCTAGGTTGCAGAAAAGAAGAAAATATTGCTTGTAATCTCTTACATTTCCTACTCCCCGTATTTTCACTAAAGGGTTTTGTAATCTCTGTTGTTTAAATGCATTTCTAGGATCATAACAGAACTTGGGCTTGGTTTATTTATGGTCCAGCAAGAGCAGGCTCTTCATAGAGGAATGAATAAGCTGCTGAAATGGTCCTGAGGAAGCTTTTAGATTGCACCTGCTTGTATTTGGACCAGAGATGTTTGGGAATAGCTGACTCTTACCTCTGTGCACCACACAGAAGCACTGTCAGTAATGCTTGTTTTTTAATCAAAGTAAAATAATTTCAGACATGACAAAATGTTTTTTCAAGCAAAGCAGTCCAGCTAGAATCTGCTACTCTCCAGAGTAAATTATTGAGACTAATGTTCCTTAGAAGGAAACTCTTGAGGGTTTTCATGTGAGGAACAAATCTAAAAGAGTGAGTCCCCACATAACCAGCACGTGTCCCAGGCATCAGTGAACACAGTGTCCTGCCTTGGACAGTGGTGGTCATTGCCAAAAACATTCCATGATGTGGGAGAGCCAGACAAACACATGGGAGCAGGCAGAACATCACAAAATGTATGAAGTTCCTCTACGTAATATGTGTGGAACTGTATGGAAAAGAAAATATCTTCTTTCAACTGCTCCCACACACAGATTTGGATTCACAAAGCC